TGTAATCACTATGTAAGAGTGAGGATTAATTAGCTCCCATTCTCATTTCTACTTGTTGTTCTAATAAAGATTTGTATAAATCTAAGACTGGGAGTAACTGATAACTTGATTTTTATTTGGAAGATGATGGGGGAGGGGAAGAGTTCATGCATCTGGAGTGATAATTTTGTAGGTATGCTTAGAGCATTTTCATTTGACCTTGCCTGTGCAATTATGCCAGTTTGAAGAGCGGTGGACAAAGACTTCACGGTTGTTTCTGAATGTAGGGCCTTGCTGGCCCGGGCTGCACCAGGAAGCAGTTTATATTCTAAAGACAGATGATAGAGGAATGAAACTCACAGGGTGAGGGTCAGCGCCCAAATGATTTCCTCACAGGGGAAGGGTGCCAAATCACACACCTTCAAAGATCACACTGCTGGTAAGACTAATTTTCGGCAATCAAAAAAAAAAAAAAAAAACAAAAAAACAACAACAACAACAAAAAACTTTACTATGGAAAGTATCAATTTAAAAGTAGACAGAATAGAATAATAAAGCCCTATGAATTCATAAATCAGATTCAGCAACTGTAATATCTCATTGATATAAAATATTAAGCTGATATTTTCTATATCCCTGCCCTCTTCTGATCTTTTGAATTATTTTTAAGCAAATCCCAGATATCAAGGTATTGCATTTGCAAATAGTTGAGCATGTATCTTTAAAAGATAAAGAACATATAAAAATATTCATAATCATAATTCTACTTTATCATGTCTAAAACTCTCTTGCAATAATTCTTTAATATCAAATGCTCAGTTTTCACATATCCAATACTACCCTATAAAAGTCATATAAATTGGGGAGAATTTTTTTTTAATGATATAGTACAGCATTCTGCTTTGAATGAAACACGCTCATTAACACTTTAGAAAGTGAAAGTACTAGACTAGAAATGTAGTAATTAGAATTAGTAAAACTATACCAGATGAGATACTTTTTATATACTTTTCAGAAAAAGGGGGGAAAGCTAGAAATACTTGCTTAAATAAACATGGCATAGGAAAAATGTTGATTTCCTTGTTTTAGCTCATCAATGTCAGTGTTCTCAGGTAGTTCATTGTATATGAGAAAATACCCATTATACATAGGTGTGAAGACCATAAAGATGAGATAAAACAGAACAGAGTTTAACTCTGTATATGCTTCAGAAGAATAATTATGAATAAAAGCATCCCATGAAAAATGGGAATTTGATCTAAACTTCAATTCATTTACACGAATCCTGCATCAGAGGATTATATCATGTTCGTTCATAAAGCAGTACTGAATTCAAGAGTCTAGAAGGCTGGTGTTGACCTTTTGAGCTTGTCATTCTCTGTTCTCTCCTGCCACTCTGTTCTTGGACACTGAGTCACAGTTAATGGAGGCAGTCAGGTAATGTCTGACAAATGAAAGTGCCAGATCAGGCCCAATAAACACTGTGAGGTGTTTATCTACCTAGACCACTGCAGGGGGAACAGAGTCATTATCACTGCTGTACCCACCACTTGGCTGATAACTGTTGGATATTTGCTACCTGAGAGATAGTCATTCCCAAGAGAAAATACAATGGGCACCATGAATTGAGAATTAGGCTTCTTTTCAGATTATAAAACCCCAAAGTGTCAGTGCCTAAGGCAGTGGTATTTGAGATTATTTGTTCTATCATCTCAATGAAATTAAACTTGAGTTGGTATTTATCAGTCATCTACTGTATTATCATCCCATGGCCTTAATGTTCTGGGAAATAACATCACCATGAATCCATTACTGTCAACAAAGGGCTTTCACATACACCATCTCATTTTAAACTGGCAGGATTCCTGTGATTTATGTAGGGTTGATAATCTCCATTTTAAGTAAGAAACTAAGGCCATGGGAGGTTAAGTGACTAGTACAAGGTCACACAACTAATAAACAGTGGAACTGTTTTATACATCTATATTTGCTTATCTTAAATATCATGCAATAAGAATGTGTAGCCCTACCCTAAAATACATAAGAATTGTTTCTGAATGGACCAAAACTCTTGAAAGAGATGAGTGCAAATTATGAGAAAAGTATGAAAAAAAATCAGTTTCTATAGGAATAAGAGAAAACACTTTTTTAAATTGGTTAAATCTGTATCATTATTGGGGGAGGTCTACTATGAGTGGCTAGCATTTCTGGAATTAAAATAGCTCCACAGATTCAATACTCATGTTCTATATCAAACTTATTCTATGATAATTTGAAGATAGGATAGATTGAAATTTACCTTAAATCTAGAAAAGAAAAAAATCCACAGAGACTAGAGGTGTATCAGGTAAAAGTGTGAAATAAATCCACTAAAACAAAAGAAGGGACATTTTGACTTGTTTACAATAAATAACTCATTTTAAGACTAGATGTATGACCGTACACATGATGTTGCCAATTAGGAAGTTTTTTAAAAAAGATTTATTTTATTTATGTATGCATACAAGAGCTAGGGTGCAGGCTAGAGGTGTTGGGGCGGGGATGAGAGGATTCACCAAAGACAGCATGGAGTAGAACAGGTGGATTGACTGAAATACACTGCTTAAGGGAGCAGTGGGCAAGTCAGGAGAGGTCTGCTGTGCCACAAGGGCCAGCTCCCTGGCCAGGGATTGCTCGAGCTGCAGTGGCTGAGGATAACTTCATAGTGCTGAGACTTAACCCCTTGTGTCACCAGGGAGACCCAGAAAGTTTGTTTATAATGTGTTAAAGCATGAACATTAGTTTGTGAGCATGTATTTTACTTATAATATTTAATTATTATATTAGACCACCTCTAGATAGTAAAATTTAAGGAACATTATTATCTTTAGGCTTATTCTTACTAACAAAAGCATTATTTTCAAAATCTGCTTCTTTTTATTTATCTGGTTTTGCTTAAAGTAGGGATGATTTTTATATTTATGTTTTTACAGAACGCATCTATAATTTTCTGAGACACTGAAATTCTAATTCACTGAACAGAAATTTATTTGATTGCTGAGAGAAGGCCTTGGTGGAACAAACATTTCTTTTAAGCAGGAATTATACAGAGAACAGACTCTGAAATACAAGTTGATTTAGGACAACAGGCCCATTTCAGCTGACTGGGAGACCAAGAAGGTCTGGTTACCACTGGGAAAGGACTGTCTCTCCTCACTGAGTTTTCTAAGGGTGAAGTTATACCTATTTTCACGTATAAGAAATGAGAACTTTTTACTACTTTAGTTCCCCTAAGTGCCTCATTAGTAGTAAGGTCTCAAAAGTTTCTTTAGTTCCCTCAGTTTTATTAAGATATAATTGATACACAATACTACATAAGTTTAAGGTGTACAGCATAATAACTTGAGATTGAAAATTTCTTGAGCACTAACCTCTCCAAATTTTCTCTTTAAAAAATTCCCATCCAGGCCTCCCTGATGGCGCAAGGGGTTAAGAAACAACCTATGAGGCTGTCTACAGCCACTGCAGCACAAGTTCAATCCCTGGATGGCCAGGGAGCAATCCACATGGCGAAGCAGACCTCTCCTGACTTGCCCACTGCTCCCCTCAGCAGTGTATTTCAGTCAATCTGCCTGTTCTGTTCCCCACTCTGTCTCTGGTGAATCCTCTCACCACCCACGCCTCTGGCCTTTATCCCAGCTCTTGTATGTATAAATAAATAAATCGTAAAAAAAATAAAATAAAAAATTCCCACTCTAACTTTTAGGAGTGGGAGGGCACATTCAAGTCCATGTTCTGATATTTCCAGGAGGACTGCTTGGTCTAGGCCACATATAGAAAAATGCCTTATAATATTATCTCCAATGAGGTTACACATGAAGAGACAAACAGAACTGAAATAGAAATAATGAGACTGAAGGAACAAAATATTTGTCATTCAATATCTGGGGGGAGTCTGAATTAAAAATACTTTATAATGATAGTGCACAATTATATTTTATTTTTGGTGTTGAATGCATTAATTTGCAATAGCTATCCTAAATACATCACAATATAATTATACTGTTTTATATTTTTTCATTAAAATTTTTTGTTACTGAAAAATAATATAAAAATTGAAAAGAATAATTTCTTCAAGTTTTATAAACTAACTAGGAGCTTAAGAGAAACCCTGATTCCCACTTATCATTTCTCTTTTGTCTAAAGCTTCACTTACCTAGTAAATAGTTTGCTTCTGAATAGGAAAGATGGCATCTTATGGAATATTAAATCAGACATTAAACACTCAAAGAAGAATGTTCTACTTGAGAACATCAATGAAAAAAACACCAGCTATTGCTGGAGTTTTGTATTTTTCAAAACAAACCCAATAATATGAAGAACTGGCAGCCAGTTTGTCTCTCAGTTAAAAAAAGCTGGTCAAAGACACATAACCACATATCCAGGAGCATACAGGAAGCAGGAACTTTCAGCATTATGCACACCAGCAAGCCACAAATACTTGATCATAAACTCTCTTTTATTTTCCTGGTAAGCTGTATTTCCTTATTCACTTTTTGGGTATATCCTAGGTTAGCACCATTCAGCTTTTTTGTTCTAATAGCTTGTCAGAGTGCACAGTTATTAAGATGCCAAAAGGTCACGTCTGTGTAGTGCTGCCCGGCTGTTATCAGATTTTAATAGCCCACATTTCTCAAATTAACATCTTCTGGTAGGAAACTAATTAAAGATTAAGCTATTCAATTTGAATTTTTATTATTATTTAGCAGCATAATTTAATGCATTCTTTAAATGCAGTACTCCATCTACAATGATTTTTCATTAATTTTTATCACACCATGCTTTTTCCTTTCTTGGCAAGTAATAGGTCTTAAAAAGACTAATGAGGAGACAATATAAAAAGAAAGTAGTTACATTCCATGGAAATTTAAAATCAATAATAATAGTAATAGCAGTAGTAGTGTTGGTAGTAAACAATTTACCAAGGTCTGATATTTAAGTCATAAATAGCTTTAATTCAACAATGGATTTAAAGGACTTACCAGGGTTGCAATCTGTAAGAAGTGAGCAGATGGAGAGAAGAACTTTAGAAATGGTTAGGGCTGGACTCCAGTTGTCCTTTAGGATGTCCAGACAAATAACACCCTGGCTGTTAATATTACAGTGATAGATTCTTGTTCGGAAGGTAACCTAGGAGAAAATGCAAAGTTGTTAGAAATACCTTTTTTAGACAAAATATTCCAAGTGTTATTGGTTAAACTACATTTATAATTTTTCCTTAGGCACAACAGAATATTCGGTAGTTGGAATCATTATTTTAGGACCTTTAATTCTGGGCTCAGAAAACTAAAGTAAAATCATGACATTCTGTTTTCAGATGGAGTCTTATCAATGACTAATGTTCTGAGGATTGAGTTCACTCCTATGTTCATTACAATACTATACACAATAGTGAAGTTATGAAAACAAGCTAAGTGCTCAAGGACAGTCTAGTGGATTAAGATAGTGTGGTAAATACACACAGTGGAATACCACTCAGCTATGAAAAAAGATGAACTCTTGTGACTTGTGACAACATGGATGGAACTGGAGGGGATTATGCTAAGTAAAATACGCCACAAAGAGAAAGATAAATACTGGATAGTTTCACTCATATGTGGAACATAAGAAACAAAACAAAGGGTCAAACCAAACCAAAACTATAACCTAGAAATAAGACTTCCCAAGTGGAGAGGGGGAGGGTGCAGAGCAAAGTGTGGTGGGGGCCCAACAGATTATGGTGGAAGACATTATGGTGGAAGTCCTCTTGGTGACTGGGTTGTGGCACTGCACATCTGAAAAGATATGTTCCTTTTCTCTGCATCATATACAGTGTTGTAAACCAATGTTACCTCAGTTAGGAAAATGCCATATGAAGCATCAAACGACTTAACATATTTCAAATAATTATTAAGACCACAACCTATCACATAATGGAGTGCTTCATCATATGTTTGAACACTGAAAAACATATTTTCAAATAATTCTTGGAGCAAAGAAAACAAAGTCAGCTAATTTATAACTGAATGACAACGACAATTTCGGGTTGCCAATACCATTATCTGTGATTCAGTTTTAACAGTTTCAAGGGACAAATCTAGTTTCGACTGTACATATTAGAAAGAAAGATATTTAATGAATTAAAGTGTCCAACTAAGAAAAGAAAAAAAAATAATCACACAAAAGTTAATGAAATAGAGAACATCCAGTAATATTAAAATTTTGTAGAGTGCCTATATCTTAAAGTGCTAGAAAAAAGAAAATATTTTCATGATCCAACATAAATGAGTGACTTTTACATATAATTTAAAAAACCTATCAGATATTGATAGGTTATTCTGAGCCAGTTAATCCTCAGATTTGTGTGATGACCGCCACCACCAAGACACAGACAAGACACAATTCCATCACAAACATCCTCTGTGTTATTCCTTTAATAGCCACAGTCACCTTCTTCCTTTCCCTATTCTTTTTTTTTTAAAGATTTATTTATTTATGCATAGAAGAGCTGGGGTACAGGCCAGAGATGCGGGGTGGGGGGGGATGAGAGGATTCACCAGAGACAGATTGGAGAAAAGAACAGGCAGACTGACTGAAATACACTGCTGAGGGGAGCAGTGGGCGAGACAGGAGAGGTCTGCTGCACTGTGTGGGTTGCTCCCTGGCTGGGAATTGAACTTGTGCTGCAGAGGCTGCATATTGCTTCACAGTGCGGTAGTTAACCCCTGGCACCACCAGGGAGGTCCTTTTTCCTTATTCTTGACAACCACAACTCTGTTCCTCATTTCTGTAATTTTGCCTTCTTTTTTTTTTTTTTTTAAGATTTATTTATTTACGCATACAAGAGCTGGGGTACAGACCAGAGATGCGGGGGTGAGAAGATTCACCAGAGTCGGCGTGGGGAACAGAACAGGCAGATTGGCTGAAGTACACTGCTGAGGGGAGATATAATTTTGTCATTTAAAAAATGCTATAAAAACTGATACACAACTTTTTCATATTGGTTCTTTTCACTCCACAAAATTCACTGAGATCCAGCACAGCTGTTCTATGTGTTAACAGTTTGCTCCTTATTGCTGAGATGTACGCCCTGGAATGAATGTATCAGTTTGTCTAGCCACTTATGCAATGAAGGACAAATGGGTTATTTCCAGTGTTAAGCTACTATTCTTTCTTTTTTTTTTTTTTTTTTTTTTAATAATAAATTTTATTTTTATATTCCCCATACAATTGCAGCCCCCCCATTCTGACCCCAATCCCTCCCCTCCCACCCCCGCCCCCCTAAAAGTGTCTCTGGTTCGTAGTTTTTTGTTGATTTTGATTTTCACTTTCTTATAGTTATTCGTTTTCCTGGTCCCTTATTTAAGTTTTCTAGATTCCTGCTATGAGTGAGACCATCCGGTATTTTTCTTTTTCTTTTTGGCTTATTTCGCTGAGCATGATCCCTTCCAGTGCCATCCATGTTGCTGCAAATTGCATGTGTTTATCTTTTTTGAATGCTGAGTAATATTCTATGGTATATATGTACCACATCTTCTTGATCCAGTCATCTATTTTTGGGCATTTGGGTTGTTTCCAAAGCTTAGCTATTGTAAACAGTGCTGCTATAAACATAGGGGTGCAGGTGTTCTTTGGAATTGATGTTTCTGTGTCCTTTGGGTAAATACCTAGGAGTGGAATTGCTGGATCATATGGAAGCTCTATGTTTAGTAGGTCCAGAAATCTCCACACAGCTCTCCACAGTGGTTGGACCAGTTTGCACTCCCACCAACAGTGCACAAGAGTTCCTTTTTCTCCACACCCTCGCCAACATTTGTTGTTGCTAGTTTTTTTAATATGTGCCATTCTCACTGGTGTAAGATGGTATCTCATGGTAGTTTTGATTTGCATTTCCCTGATGACAAGTGATGTTGAACATTTTTTCATATGCCTGTTGGCCATTTGCATTTCCTCTTCAGAGAAGTTTCTTTTTAGCTCTTCTGCCAATTTTTTGACTGGATTCTTTTCTTTGTTGTTGTTAAGTCTCATCAGCTCTTTGCAGATTTTTGTGATCAGTCCTTTATCATTAGTGTTGGGTGCAAAAATGTTCTCCCAGTTGGTGGGGTTTCTCTTTGTTTTTGTTATTGTCTCTTTTGCTGTGCAGAAGCTCTTTAATTTGATGTAGTCCCAGCTGTTTATCTTCGCCTTCACTATCACTGCTTTGGGTGATGTGTCTGTAAAGATGTCTTTGATGTGCAAATCACGTAGTGTTTCGCCTATATTTCCTTCTATGTATTTTATGGTTTCAGGTCTTATGTCTAGTTCTTTAATCCATTTTGAGTTGATTTTTGTGTATGGTGTGAGGTAGTGGTCAAGCTTCATTCTTTTGCATGTAGCGACCCAGTTTTCCCAGCACCATTTATTGAACAAACTTTCTTTGCTCCAATGCATAGTCTTTGCTCCTTTGTCAAAGATTAGTTGACCATAAATCTGTGGGTTTATTTCTGGATTTTCTATTCGATTCCATTGGTCTGTATGTCTGTTCTTGTTCCAATACCATGCAGTTTTGATGATTATGGCTTTGTAGTAGAGTTTGAAGTCTGGGAGTGTGATGCCTCCATTCCCTTCTTTTTTTTTCAGTAGAGCTTTGGCTATTCGGGGTTTTTGGTGATTCCATATGAATTTCATCAATAATTGTTCTATTTCTTTGAAGAATGACATTGAAATTTTGATTGGAATAGCATTGAATCTGTATATTGCTTTTGGAAGGATGGCCATTTTAATAATGTTTATTCTTCCAATCCATGAGCAGGGGATGTCTTTCCATTTCTTTCTGTCTTCTTCTATTTCTTTTAACAGTGTTTTATAGTTTTCTTTGTATAGGTCCTTTACCTCTTTTGTTAGATTTATTCCCAAATATTTGATTTTTTTTGTTTCAATAACAAAAGGGATGGTTTTTTTGATTTCTTCTTCTTCAGATTTATTGTTTGTGTATAGGAAGGCTACTGACTTTTGCGTGTTGATTTTGTATCCTGCCACTTTACTGAACTGATTGATGAGTTGAATTAGTTTTTCTGTGGACTTTTTGGGGTTCTCTGTGTATATTATCATATCATCTGCAAATAGTGATAGTTTGACTTCTTCTTTTCCTATTTGGATTCCTTGGATGTCTTTCTCTTGTCTTATTGCTCTGGCTAGGACTTCCAGTATTATATTGAAAAGCAGTGGTGAGAGTGGACATCCTTGTCTTGTTCCAGATCTTAATGGAATTGCTTTCAGCTTTTCACCATTGAGAATGATACTGGCTGTTGGCTTGTCATAGATGGCCTTTATGATGTTGAGGTATGTTCCTTGTATCCCAAGAATTTCAAGGGCTTTTATCATGAATGGGTGTTGCACTTTGTCGAAAGCTTTCTCAGCATCTATTGATATTATCATATGGTTTTTATATTTCTTTTTGTTGATGTGTTGGATAACGTTGATTGATTTTCGGATGTTAAACCATCCTTGTGTCCCTGGAATGAATCCTACTTGGTCGTGGTGAATTATCTTATGGATGCATTGTTGGATTCTGATAGCTAAAATTTTATTGAGGATTTTTGCATCAGTGTTCATTAGGGAGATTAGCCTGTAGTTTTCCTTTTTTGTGTTGTCCTTGTTTGGTTTTGGTATTAGTGTAATGTTGGCTTCATAGAACGTGTTTGGTATTGTCCTTTCCTTCTCAATTTTTTGGAAGAGTTTGTGAAGGATAGGCACTAATTCGTCTCTGAATGTTTGGTAGAATTCATTTGTAAATCCATCAGGTCCTGGGCTTTTGTTTTTGGGGAGGTTTTTGATTACCATTTCAATTTCGCTAATTGTAATTGGTCTGTTTAGGTGCTCTATTTCTTCTTTATCTAGCTTTGGGTGATTGTAGAGTTGTAGGAATTTGTCCATCTCCTCTAGATTGTTAAACTTGTTTCCATATAACTGTTCATAGTAGTTACTGATTATTCTTTTGATTTCTGCTGTGTCCGTTGTGATTTCTCCTCTTTCATTGATGATCCTGTTATTTGTGCTTTCTCCCTTTTTTCCTTTGTGAGCCTGGCTAGGGGTTTATCTATTTTATTGATTTTTTCAAAGAACCAGCTCTTGGGTTTCATTGATCTTTTGGATTGTTTTTTTAGTTTCAA